CACATATTTTTACATTAATTTTGTTTCTTCTTCAAACCAAACAAGAAAATGTGATTCCATACATTTATTTTACATTGAACCAAACAACTTCAAAGTGTTACAAATCTAATACATTACTTTTCTACTACACTTTTTTAGCAAAATAAAGAGCTCTTAAATATAAGTTTCATTATTATCAAAACACATGAATAAATCATAAAAGTCGTCATAATCATTTTGTCCAAATATTAATAAAAATATCATTGTCATTGTCGGGTCCCAAGCTCTGGAAGTGAAAAGTGAAGGGTTGCGTTATGTAGCCGATAGCCAGCATAAAATTTGTCGAAAAATTATGGCATAAATCATTTAAATTCTTGTGTAAATAATATGGCGTCCCCTGAAAGTGACACATTGTATAGTCTGAATATACTGAAAAGTGTGGAAGGGTCGCTACACCGCCGTCCGGGTGTAATAGCAAATAAGCAAGAGTTCAGACAATACAAACATATATGGGTAAGGAAATTAGACCATGAAACTAAAATTAGGATAAGATATTGTAATATAAGTACTTCCAGAGGTAAATTAATGGAATTAGTTGATATATGATTTATAGGAAGATAAGTATCTCATTAATTCAAGAAATTAAATGGGTTAGAGAAAAGGCTAAGCAGATTGATATCACTTTCTGTTTTTTATTTTTTCTTTTTGAAAACAAAAAAAAATAACGAAAAAAAGCGTTTGTTTTTTTTTTATTTTGTTTTTGAAACACATGAGTCGTGTTTTCAAAACATCAAAAACACATCAATTGTATTTTCGCTATTTTAAAAACATATTTGCAGGAGCTTTGCCCTAAAACTTTGAATTAGATTAATCATCGTTGGCCGAAATTAATATAACCAAATTAAGCCATCATTCCACTAATTAAATCCAAAACTTGCTTAATTAACTCAGTAATAAATTATTGGAGTTACAAAAATTACCAGAATTCAACTAGTTAATAAAATACTTAACCGAACTAATAATCATCTGATTAAATCATTAGTTATTTAAATGAAACATAAATGAATTTAATTAACCCATAATTACTCAATGTAATAAGAAAACTACTTAATTAACTTAATAATTAACCAATTAAACCCATATTAATTTAAACAAAATAATAATCATTTAATTAAGTTAATAATAAAAAATTAAAATCTTAAATTACTAAAACAAATTATTAAATATGTAAGAAAATAAATATAATATTAAACAACTTAATTAAAATACTAACTAATGAATTAATTAAATATTTCATTAAATTACTTGAACTTTTGATTAATCCAAAAAATCTTAATAAAATTATAAAAATTTTATATCAATTAAAACTTCAATTTAACAAAAATTTAACTTAATAAAATAATTATTTAATTAATTAATTTTAATAATTCACCAAACAATTAATTAACATATTAAATAAATTAATTAATTAATTAGTTAGTAGTTATTACTTAAATAGTTTCAATTAATTAACCTATTAGTAGTTATTAAAATTCAATTAATTTTTTAAAAAGTATTATTTTTTTTCTTTAGAAAAATAGAAAATACTCAACCAAACATGTTTTTTATATTTTTTATTTTTAAAAAAATATATCAATCATGAGTACCAAACATGTTTTCTAAAAACAAAAAAAATTAAAAAAAAAACGGACTGAAAATAGAAACAAAAAGTAATCCCAAATAGAACCATAGATTTTAAACTTTGGTATTCATGTAAGAATGCACTAGAATGGTGTAGGTTTGATTATAAATAAGAGTTTGAAAAATAATGTTATAGAAATCAAAAAAATTGGAGATGGAAATATAGTCATTAAGATTATTGTTGATACTTAGACATTTAATGTATAAGTGTTTATGCTACTCTAGTAGATTTAGGTACATGTTCTAAAGAAAAATTCTAAAATGACCTAGAAAAATTAACATAAATAATACCTCTTGAAGAAATTTTTTTTTATTTTAGGAGATTTAAATAGACATATCGGTAGAGTGGTAGAAGATTTTAGAAATATTCATAGTGGCTATAATTTTGAAGTCATTAATGAAGAAGGTAGAAACATATTAGATTTTGCTTTAGCGTATGATTTTATTATTGCCAATAATTTATTTAAAAAAGAGATGAGAATATTATTACTTATAATATAATAATGGATCTAATAAAACACAAATTCATTATCTTCGTATGAAAAGAAGAGCTCGTCAAGAATGTAACTATTGAAAGTAGATATGTGTATTTAGTTCGTAGAACTTTAATTGCTCGAAAATATATTTGAATTTTGACTCGGATCGAAACAAACGAGCTTAGTTACGAGCTAAGATTTTGGATCGAATTTTTTTCGAGCCAACCCTAACTCGGCTCAAAATTGGATTGTTAACAACACCAGTGTAGCCAGGACCGCAAATTTAGCTCGAATATCTTTAATTGGTCAAAAATTGATTCAAATCTTGGTTCTGATCTAAATAAACGAGCTGAGCTACAAGCTAAAATTTTGGATCAAATTTTTTTCAACCTCTAGTCGGCTCGAAATTGAATGGTTAACAATACTAGTGTTGTCAGGACCGTGAATTTTACAAATTTAGCTCAATGAAGGTTAATCACTCGAAAATTAATTTGAATTTTGGATCGGACTGAGATCAGATAAAAATAAATAAGCCGAACTGCGATCCAAAAAATTTTGGATCGAATTTATTTCAAGTAGATTTTAAACCGACCCCAGCTCAGCTCGAAATCAAATCATTAACAGCCCTAATTGTAAGGTCATTGCAAGTGAAAAATTAAGTACTTAACATCAATTATTAGTTTTGGATTTTAAAATGAAGTGTTGTAATATAAAGAATACTAAAAATCATTGTCATATAATTATATATGAGCACTTAAAAGAAAATAAAATTATTTTTATGAGTAAACTTCAAGATTTTAAGGTTTGGGATGTCCATGGAGAAGCAAGATCTATGTGAGATAAAGTAACAAACACTATTAAACAAGCGGCAAAAGATATACTTAGATAATCAAAAGAAATATTTTTATAAATAAATACTTGGTAGTGTAATATAAATGTGCAAGAAAAGATAAAATAGAAATTGTGTTATTAAAAATAATTTAAATGTAAAACTTAGAAAATTGGGAAAAATATAAGGTGGTCCATAGGAAGTCTAAGAGAGCAATGTGACACTAAAAATTTTGTTTTTAATGTTATTTATAATTAATTAGATACTAAAAAGTGTGAAGAATATATGTATAAAATAACCAAATAAAAAGAAAAGTAAAAATTTAACTGAAATATAGTGTATTAAAGTTGAAAACAAAAAAGTATTTTTCCTAGAATAAGATATTCATCATAGGTGAGTAAGCTATTTTAATAAAATTTTCACTGAAGTTTTTAAAAATACAATCGACCTTAGTGATTTTAATATCGTTAATAATAATAAAATGTTTTATTTTTACCGTCACATTAGTAAAAAAGAAGTCATGTTGATAGCCCAATTGAAGTGGAAATATTTTAGGGATTTGGTAGTTGCTTGGATTACTAAACTCTTTAATATTAGTTTAAAAACTATAAAGAAGCCTGAGGAGTAGAGGAAGAGTATTTTGGTCCTGATTTTTAAGAATAAAGGGGATACACAAGAGTGTGCAAATTATAAAGGAATAAGGTTGATGAGTCATACTTTAAAATTATGAGAGAGGATAATTGAACATAAATTAAGATATGATATAAAGATTTCTCATTACCAGTTTGGATTTATGTAAGGTAAGTATACGATGGAATCTATACATTTATTGAGAGATTTGACAGAGAAGTGCAAAATTAGAATAAGAACTAAGCTAAGCTTTCAAAAGAAGTTCTTTGATTCTAGAAAAGAAAGATATTGATAAGACTTATATTTGAGTCGTTACAGATATGTATATTAGAGTTGTTACTTGTGTTCGAACAGAAGGAGGATTGGCCAAGTATTTTTCTATTTTAATTTGATTACATCAGCGATCGGCTTTAAGCCCATATCTTTTTGCTCTAGTTATGGAAGCTATGGATGGACTTATTCGACACTTATAGGAGGATGTATCTTGGTGTATGCTTTTTCGTTGATGATATCCTTCTTATGGATAAGATTAGAGAAAGTTCAGGAAAACCATGAATTATGGAGGTCTATAATGGAGTCGAAAAGCCTTCGTTTGAGTGGAACTAAAACTGAATACATTGAATATAATTTTAGTAGTGGTAGCTTGAGTAGCAGAATTGTAACTATGGGTGATCAAATCATTAAAAGCTGTTAACATAATAGATATCTCGGGTCTATTATTCAGAGTGATGGTGATATAGATGGGATTTTATAAGTAGAATTGAAGTTGATTGGTTGAAGTGGAGGAATCTTACGGGCCTATTGTGTGATAGAAAAGTACTGCTTAAACTGAAAGGAAAATTTCACAAGATCGTAGTGAGACCTGCAATGCTCTATGGTGTAAAATGTTGGAATTTAAAAGAGAAGAATAAAACAAAGTTACATGTTGTTGAGATAAGAATACTTAGGTAGATGATTACTTTGACACTTAGAGACAAAATACGATATGAATATATCCGTGAAATGTCGGATAAGATTAGAAAGAGTCGTCTTAGATGGTTTGGTCACATTAAAAGTCGACCATCTGATGATCTGATTAGGAGAGTAGATATTTCAGCATCGATTGGTGTAAAGAAAGGCAGAGGTAGTCATAAGAAGATTAGGGCATATTGTGTAAAAAATGATCTAATCTATTAGAATTAAATGAAAATATGACACTCAATAGGATGCAATGGATAAGAAGGATTCATGTAGTTGACTAGACATAGTGGGATAAAAACTTGTTGTTGTTGTTGTTGTTATAATGATTAAAACAACTAATGCATCATAAAAAACCATAAATTGAAGCATTTTCTTCATAATTGCTAGAGTAAAGTCAAAAAATTACATAACAGAAAAATTTGCATATTTGCAGAAAGAGAAATTACCTTATTTGGCACTATTCCAGAGGATTCCATATTTCTTACTAGTTGTTCAGCCTTCAAATAATCTCTGCTTACAGAATAAGCATTCAGCAAAGAGCTGTAATGGAATATGTTAGGACTACAGCACTCAACAATCATCTGATTGAAATACTCCTCAGCTTTTTCGCATAGATTGTTTGAAGCACAAGTCGATATAAGGCTGCCATAGATTACAGCATCCTTGCTAAAGCCGCTACTCTCAAGCTCGTGAACTAGCTGCATTGCTTTTGCATAACCATCTGTCTCTTTGCCACAACCTGCTAAAAGCTAAGGAAGCCAGACAAATAGATACTCAGCGTACAGCGCATTACAGACAAGCCAATTTATAACTTAAACATTGCAAACTCCAAGTTACTTGCAGAAAACCAGTATAATACCGTACTATATGTGACCAAGTCCGGCAATAAACCTTCATCCTTCATCTTACTGAACAACTTCAGACTGCTTTTAAATCTTCCATTTTGTGACATACATCCAAGAATTGAGTTACAAATGGACAAGTTGATTTTTGTTGATTTATCGGCAATACTATCATAAACTTGAAGAGCTTTTATGGGATTACGGCTTATTCGCATATATTTGATGAAACTGCTATACGATGCAAAGTTAAGCATCTCATTCTTTTGCATCCAATCAAAAAGCTGCAAAAATAGAGGATACACTAAATCAACCAAAAAAGTAAAAGAGGTAGCTCAGACATCAGAAACTGTCAAACTTTATAGCACGCAGTGAGAGCGTCATAAATGCTTGTACATGTATTACAGGAGGAAAAGACGTTTGTCAAAAGGTTTATGGGCTTAATTAACTTCATTAAATTTATAAGTCGTGACACGTTTCTATTACATTTTTCATTTCAATTTACAAAAAAAAAACTTCTTGTTTAATAGGTATACCTGAATCTCAAGTAGCAACTCTGTGATCAGTTTCTACTACATTTTTCATCTGTTTTTACAAAATAAAAAAAATAAATAAAATTTTAAAAAAAGATTTCTTGGTTAAAAGGTTTATCGAACTTATTTTCTCTTCAAAATGAAGCAAAATTTTTACTATTAATGCAACAGAAAAAACATGGAAGTTCTACAAAATAATGCAATTGACGGAAGTGGATTCTGTTGAAATTCAGAACACAAGAAAGAAGAAAGAGTAAAAGTAAAACCAGGAATTGTAGAGAATAACTTTTCCATTCCAATATATTACTATATACTGGAGTGTAAGCACAATTTAACAAAGGATTTGGTTTTGCTTCAGTAGCTAAGATCATTTGGGTGGTTGATAGAGCTGGTTTAGATTACTTATTAGAGATGAGGTAGCTGTTGCTATGGTTGGATGTTCAGGTGTAGTTGGTCCCACTATTACTGCCCTCAAGTTGATGATCCAAGGTTGGATGGTAAACTTCTTACAAAACTTTTGGTATAGCATGCTAGAAAGCAATTTAGACAGTATGAACGCTGACTGGCCTTGAGAGGTGATATGCACAACTTGGATTTCATTGGAATGAATGCGCTCAAAAATGAAATCATAATCAATCTCGATATATTTTGTTCGGGAATGAAAAATAGGGTTATTTATGAGTGTCGTTGAGGAGATGTTGTCGCAATAGAAAGTAGTAAGTTGTATTTAAACCTTACAGTAGGCTATGGAGCCAGAAGATGTTGGTGGCTACATTTGCACCTAGAGACAAGCATATTGCTGGGATATGCACAGCAGCCTGTTGCGGACTTTCTACTATGAGTTGTTAGCCCAATTGGAGCCCAGATTGGTGCATAGTGTGAGATTTCTTAGCCATATTTGAAGTTCAAAGTTTGTTGTACCCCTTATGTAGTGGTGAAGACTTTTCATAAGCTGAACGTGGAAGTTGGTGTGATGCATGTATTGGCAGAGAATGTTGAGTACAAATGCAATATCAACCCCGATTATGGTTAGATTTTGTAGTGAGCCTATAATTTGGTGGTACAGGATGGATTAGTGAAACTAGAATCACCAACGGAATAAGGTTTAGTAGGTGGAGTTGTGGATGGTTTAGAATCAGCCATGTCCTGATCCTTTAAATTTTATTAGCATATTTTCATTGTTTAAGGAAGATACTCGATAAAATATATATTGCTTGAGTGCCCACAAAGATTGGTATTAGGCCCTTCATGTGAAATTTTTGCTGCAAGTTATGTGGAAGAGAGGTGATTATGTTCTCTGTCATTGTCCATAAATAAGATATCATCTTCATAAGTTAAGAGGCACAGGCGAGCGTTTTTGTAACTAGATCGGTAGAATGAGAGTAGAATCCATATTTCCTTGAAATATTTTATTTTGCTTTAAAATATAAAAAGAGTCACAAAAACATGCAAAACCCTGCTAAGTAGCAGATTCACAAAAAACTCTATCCCTCTCAACAAAAGAAAAAATAGGATGACTATCAAGTAAGTTCTTTGTAATAAAACTATCCTATAAGGCAAGCTGAGCACAAAATGAGCCGCCTCATTGTTTGTGCAGAATCCATATTTTGCTGAGGTGACTTGTGAATGTAACAAACAATTAACGCAGGGATTATTTTGAGGCAAAACGTGGTCTTCTTTAGAAAGCAGATGTGGTTGGAAAATAGAAGATTAAAGAAGCCAAGTGGCTACAACATTTATACAGTTTAGCTCAATTGTTCATGGAGGAAAGCATTAAAACTTTACGAATGTTTGCCAATTCTAGAAAAGGAAAATATTTAGAAAAATTCAGGCAGTACGCATTTTGGTAGGACTAAATGTTTACGTTTAGTTAATCTCATGATCTTGTAGCCTTGAGCAACAAGGCAAACTTTGGCAAAGAAGCCATCAGAGCTTAGTTTTGTTCGATCGGTCCGTTTGCAACCTGCTATAGTTTGTATTAAGGATCCATGTTCCTTATTTTGTTAAGTATTGAACTCTTAGGACATTGTGTGTTGCTAATGGATGCATTCAGAGACTTGGCTATAGCTGGTGGGGTCGAAAGATCATAGAATTGTTTTGAATACATTTTGGTTTGAGGGAGCTTGTTTAGACTTTGGCTAGTATAGGAAGTGAGATTGAGGGTGATCTACCATACTTAGGATTGATTTCCTTCGAAGCTGTTTAGGAAATGGTTGGTGTGTTGGAGGATGCTGGTTGATTGGATGAGATGGGTGTAAGATTTAGAGGTGAGATTGTTGCATTTCACTAAAAACATGGCAGAAAATTATTATTTTGCATCTGCAGCCTTCATGGGTATTGTAACACTCAATTTTGAGAAATAAGATAAAATTTGGCGTGTAAAACATACCCCAAATTTTGCAATCCTAAGAATTTGATCGAATCAATTTTATTAAATTCTACACGTCGAATCAACAACAACAACAACAACAACAAAGCCTTAATCCCACTACGTGGGGTCAGCTACATCAATCCTTTTACTCCATTATGTCATATTTAGTGTCATATTTTCATTTAGTTCTAATAAATTAAGCTCATTTTTTATATAATAAGCGCAAGTCTCCCTAGGTCTACCTCTGCCCTTTTTAACATAAGTCGAATCTAAAACATCTACTCTCCTAATCGAATCATCAGATGGTCGACGTTTAATGTGACCAAACCATCTAAGACGACTTTCTCTAATTTTGTTCGTCACCGGTGCTACAACAACCCTATCACGGATATAATCATTTCAAATTTTGTCTCTAAGTGTGAAGCCACTCATCCACCTAATCATTCTCATCGCAGCAACACTTAACTTAGTATTATGCTTCTCTTTTAAAGGCTAACATTCAGCGCCATAGAGCATTGCAAGTCTCACCACCATCTTATAAAATTTTCCTTTCAATCTAAGTGGTACTTTTCTAACAACAACACGTCGAATCGATTAATTTAATATATGACACTATATATGAATTATGAATATAATGAGAAATATAAAAAAGAAGATATTGATTTAATTAAACTAATTAAGCATTTAATTATTCTGCCTAATCTCAGACCGTAGCTATCGACTCTTTTCCATAACATGCAGCCGATGGATCGAACAGCTGAGATTAAATGGGATCACGTTAAATTGTCGCATTTCCCTCATTCTCCCCTCTCCCTCATTCGGTTTGTGGGCCAGTTGGGTTATGCTACTTGATCGTGAAGAAGAAGCGGAATCGACGTACAAAAGAAAGCTGCATCTCATGGCTGGAAGCTCTGGGGAAAATCAGTGAATAGAAAACAATCTTTTACGATGTTTGTGATATTCATATCCCTTCTTACGTTTCCATTTTGACGTTTGCTTTGAATCGGTGCAATTCTTCATTTCCAGTAGTTGTAGCTAGAGACGAACTTGTGTCAAAAACTACGAACTTGGTTTGTGGGCTTCCGTATGGGCAACTAGCAGTAAAACAGCACAGTAAAGGGATGGAGAGAAGGTTAAGGGGGAGGAAGAGAGGATTTCAAGTAATTTGTATGGAAAATTCATGCAGGGCAGCCCATTCAAAGTAAATATTGAAACATATCTCTATGTGTGGGTTAAATTAAGACACGAGAAAAAAATTTTGAATATTCTAAAAGATTTACGAATTCCAAATTGTTTACACAAGGTGATGAGCTAGAGGCAAGCTTGGGAAAACTCGTCGTATGGTTGCACTGTCAATTCAGATGAAATAATCTTGTGCTAATTTAAGAAAAATAACTCATTGTAGGTTTTCATGTGATTATGGATTTAGCAATATTACATCTAAAATTTTATGCATATTGTGGATGAATACCAGCAAAACTGTATGAATGCAAACTTTAATTGTCACTTACAATACCTATGATTTACTATCTTATTAATCTGACGAACAAGCTTATAAAATTATTGTTTGCAGGTATTCATTTACTATGAATCATATATGATATATGAAATGTCAATGATGAATGTTTCTGAAAGTGATGTTAAAGGTAAACTATTAAATGAATACTTGCAAATATGAAAAAAAGGTAAAAAGCACAAGGGCGAGTAACTAGTTGTGATATAAACAGCTTTTGTATTTCATAATTTTGAGAGCTTGTATAGAATTTTAGGTACATAATTTTATTATGTTGGATTTAACAACTTTGTATGGATAAATATGTTTAAATATATGGTTTCATTCTTATAAATATAAAAATATGAATGAATTATGAATGAAATGAATCAAATACATTTGTGGTAATTGAATTAGACTGGTTCTTTATTCAGAAAATCTTGATTTTACAAGTCAGAACGGATGCTAGTGAGAATTTAGTCTAACCAAATCATCTGCCTCAAAAGACATGACATGATATGGAAATAATCGAGACTTATACGATTACAAATTACAATCTTGATCTTGATTTTACAAGTCAGAAAGGATGCTAGTGAGAATTTAATCTAACCAAATCATCTGCCTCAAAAGACATGACATGATATGGAAATAATCGAGAATTATACGATTACAAATTACAATCTTATGATTATATTGATAACTTTTATGAATATGTTTATGATTACACATGAATGAAAGAAAAATATGTTTTACAGCACTGATGATTCTTTGTATTACAAGTCTTTTTTTTATAAGTTTTATATGCATGTGATGTCGTGTTGTGGATTTGTATATAAGCTACATATGAGCATGCAAGTTGTTTCTTTTTCGTCAATAAAATATAATATT